GCATTCAGTTTCATAAAGCAAACCATACTTGTCATAACAAGACAGATCAGTTCTAATAAACTAACACTGGATGACCTTAATGGTCCACTCTCACCAATAGATAAGCCATCTAAAAAATAAAAAAGAAATTTGAGTTAAACTACAATATAGACAAATGGACTAAAAATACATCAAAATGTTATTTTATTTCATTGCAAAATTTCAAAATTCATTCTTTTCAGATCATGTAATGTTCTTCACACAGATAAGATTTCAAGGTATAGGGGCTGGAGGGATGGCTCAGTGGTCTAAAGCACCTACTTAGAACGGGCTTGGCAGAGCATCAGGGACCGCGGTTCGATCCCCCAGCACCACATGCCGGCCAGCCCCGCCCCCTGGTGGGCTGAGCTGGCCACACACACACACCACACTCTTTCTCTCTCTCTCTCTCTCTCTCTCTTTCTCTCTCTCTCAAATAAATAAAAATTAAAAAAAAAAAGATTTCAAGGTATAAAGCAAGTATTAACAAGGACAAAAAATTGAAATGTTCTCTCACAACTTATCAGCATAGAATGGAATGAAATTAGAAATCAGGAGAAATCACAGAAACTACTGAACATATACTGAGCAATACACTTTTCATGAAATCAAAGGCAAAGTTTAAAAGTAGACCAAATAAAAAAATTTAAAGTAGCATACTGGAATTTGGAATAAGGCAAAGGTAACGCTGAGAAAGAAATTTGTACCTATTAGGGCTTACATTAAAAATTCTGAGGAGCTCAAATATCCTAATACTATAAGTCAAGGCTGAGAAAGTAAAGGCAACTAACCCTAAACCAGTGCAGGGAAAAATGCTAAAGATCAAGACTATAATCAATGAAATAGAGACTTAAAAGAACAATATAAAGATTTGATGATACAAAGCATTGCTACTTTAAAAAGATGAACAAGCAGGGTAAACCCCTATTCAGCTAACCAAGAGATAGAGAGAAGTCCAAATTAAAAGAATCAGAGGTGAACAATGAAACATCATAGCAGATAACATTTAAATCTGGAAGCTCAACAGGGACTATTTTGAAAACTTATATTCCAGTCATTTGGAAATACAGAAGAAGTGAATAAATTTCTAGACACATAGGACCTCTCCAGAAGAAACCAAGAGGATACATAAATCCTAAATAGATAGTAATAAGCAGTGAGATTGAAGATGTAATAGTCTTCCACAAAAGAAAAACCAAAGAGCAAGCAGAATCACTGCTGACTTTTATGAACCTTGCAGAGCACTAGAAACACTGCTTCTCAAGTCATTCCAAGAAAAAGGACGTAAAGGAATGCTTCCAGTTCATTCACTAAGCCATCATCACTCTGATACAAACACCACCTAAGAACACAACAACAAGGAAACCATAGATCAGTAACCTCAGTGAACATGGATACAAAAGTACTCAATGAAATTCTAGTAAGTTGAATTACACAGTGCATTGAGACCATACTCATAAGTGAAATAAATCAGACCTGTATGTATAAATGTTGTATTGTCTCCCTAGTGTAAAAACCTGAAAGAGTAAATAAAATCTGGAAAGTACAATAGATACTGTGAAATAGAAACTATTCAAAGGGAAGGAACAACTGAAATGAGGGAAAAGAGAAAAGAAAGAAGGAAGAGAAAATATATACATATATACACAAGATAGAGTGTATAAAAGTACTGCTGATTTCTACTTATCTAGTAGGAATAGTCAATGCTTAAAATTTTTTTCTTTTTAATTTTTTGGACCAACTTTGCATGCTTATATGTGAAAATCTGAACAACTAATTTGAGGACAACAGTATGCAATGTAACAACCATTGTTGAATTCCTATCATTTTATTTAGTGAAATTCTGTTCATTTCTAATATTTTTTACTAGTTGTTACTCTTTTAAAAACAAAATCAACAATAGCAGAACAGAAAAATCCTATATCATGATCAGGTTGATTTCATTTTAGAGAATCCAAGGATGGCTTGATATACACAAATCAGGCTGGGGAGATGGCTTAGTAGAATAAATGCTTCCCTGGCAAGTGCAAGGATCTGAGTTCAATCTCCTGTTCTGAAAAAAAAAAAGATATACACAGATCAGCTGTAATGCAGTAAAGCAAGGATAAAAATCACATCATCATTCAATAGAAACAGAACCTGTGATAAAATTAAGTGTTCCTTTATAATCAAAGCCTTGACCAAATTAGGTACTGAAATACCTTACTTAACATAGTAAAGGCTATGCCCAGTGTCATATTTAGTAAGGGAAAACTGAATGTGGCACCTCTAAAATCAAGAGCATTACCAGGGCATCTACTCTCACCAATCTTATTCAATACGGTACTTGAAATTTTAGTCAGAGTCATCAAGCAAGAGAAAAAATTTAAAAAAAAGATACAAAAAGGAAAGAAGGAGGTCAGATTATCCTGTTTGTAGATGATATGATTCTATTTTTACAAAACTTTATTTTTAAATTATTTATTTATTTATTTACTTATTTGGTACAAGGTCTCACTACACAGCTCACACTCATAGTGATCCTCCTGTCTCAGCCTCCTCAGCCATGGGATTATAGGTGTGTGCCACCACTCCTTGGGTTCTGGGGCTGGCACAGCATGAGGTACTGGGGATCAAACCTGGGTCCTTATGCTTACCAGCAGGTACTTATACTGCTTAGCTCTCTCCCTGGCCTACTTTTATAAAACTTTAAGGCCTCCACCAAAAGACTACTAAAACTAATATAAATAAATTCAGCAACTAGCAGAATGCAAAACCATCACATAGAAACTGGTATAATGAATAACTGAGAATGAAATCAGGAAAACAATTCTGTTCATGATAGTTTAAAACACCTGTTTATTACCCTAACTGGAGAGGTGAAAGACCCCTTTGAGAAAAATTGTAAAACATGGAAGAAACAAATTAAAGAAAACTGTCTTGGTTATTTTCTTGTTGCTAAAAAACAAACAATACTCAATAGCCACAACTTAAAGGAGGAGAGGTTTATTTTGGCTCACCATTTTAACCCATGGTCTGTTGGATCCAAGACCAAAGAGCAAGATAGATGGACCTGGGTGGAGGACAGCACTCATTCTGTGGTAGCTGTTTTGTTTGGTGATTCTCAGCTGAAGTAAAAGACTGCAACAGCCAGTAACAGACATAGAGCCACAAAGCTCTTGAAAATCTCATAGGTTTGGCGATAGGAACATAGGAGTTGGGTTGGCCAAGGCAGCCGAGACTTGAAGATTCAAAAACGGAAAGGAGTAAGTATAGAAAAATAAGCTTGCTGCTCTGCACTGTCTTTCCCTAGAGTTATTTGCTGATTCTTGACTGATACAAAAGGTGAAGAAGAGCCAAACAAGCTAGCAGGAAGAAGTCATTTTGAATGTTGAGCTCATTTAAATGAACTGCTTGCTAGAACTTCAGCTTGTTGACTGCCTTGGAGATTCTCTGATGCTGTGAAAATACTTGCTTTTTGTCTATTTTCCAGACTTTCTAGATCTTTGTAGGAGTGTTGGTTTGATGTAAGCCAACAGCTCTGTCATAGCTGAAAGCAGAAAATTTATGAGTCAACTTTTAATTAAAATTATTTGATCACTGTTTTAATTACAAGATCATGTTTTATAAACCACTGACATTCTAAACTAGGGCCTCCCCTTCTCTCTCTCTCTCTCTCTCTCTCTCTCTCTCTCTCTCTCTCTCTCTCTCTCTCTCTCTCCTACAGCGAGTGGACTGAACCCAGGGTCTTTGCACTGAGCTTCATTCTCAGCCCTTTTAATTTTTCTGATTTTTAGACAGGGTGTAAGTTACTGAGTTGCCCAGTCTGGTCTCAAACTTGCAGTCCAACAGACTTAGCTTCTTGGAGCGCTTGAATTCAAGGCATATGCAACTACTATTGTTCCATTTGATTTCATTTAAAAGGCTATTTTACTGGGACCCCAGAGATTCTAAATAGTCTTTTCATAATTGTTACTGTAGTCTGTAACCCTAAATCATAATGTTTGACACATAGATATTTAATAAATACTTGGAAAAATATCTGACTTAATAAGTTTGTCAGTGTATGAAAAGTATGTTTTATACATTATATTAGAAACCCTAGACCTTTTTCCTATCTCAGAAGATGTTCCTTAATGCTAGCCCATTCAAGAGGCACATAATGACACATACACATGTACCATCTTATGAAATGCTTTTATGTTTGAAAATTTTAAAATTATCAGTATTTATCATGGGAAAAAGCAAAGAGACTTTTTAAATATATTAATACTTTGAAATTATTCTTCTGTTTTGTACTAACATATTTAAGAAAGAACACAGTAAAACTTTCAGTTTTCATAATTTAAAATATAGTGTGATGTTTATATTCTTTGCTTAGAAATTTAAGAGAGAGAGTTGTCTACTGTTTTAGATAGTATCAGGTCAATAAAGTGTGCATTAGGCTTGAGAATCTAGTTTGTTTCTAGTTCCATAAAGTATTATATGCCCAAATAATCAGTGATATATTCATGACTGTTTTATTTAAACATTCTGAAGAAGAAAAATAGAAAGGTAGCACAACTTTACTGAACACTAGCTACTGTCATTCCTTGCAAAAATACATTTTGTTTGCTATTTTTATAAAACTTAATGGTGCCAACTAAGTGGCTGACAGGATATACTTTCCTTAACCCTAAGCGCAAAGATGTAAATTGCATGTAGTTTCCTGGGGGCTAAAGATGTTTTCTGACTAGAATATTAATTCTAATTTAATTGCTGTTCTCTGGGATTTTAGGGTGATCATGAGAGACAGCGTAATGATTCCTTTATTATCAAGATGTATCTTCTTTTTTATCTCTAGAGCCTTGCACATTATCTTCCGATGAAATGCAAAAGAATAATTTACTCTTGAAATGGTATTTTGACAATAGACCACATATTCTCCACGGCGAGTATATTGAATTTCTTTGTAGTAGAGACACTTACATAGAGGAGTCCTCTATTATGGGGTCGAAGCTTAGAGTACAGTGTAACAGAGGCGAGTTGAAGTACCCAACATGTATTCCAAGAGAAAGGTAAGAAACACCGATAGCACATCTTTATGTCAAATTGTATTCACTGTGTTATAAATTTCAGAAACATTGTATTCTATAACACTCCTATATTACTAAATATGAAAAAAATATTTATTTTTAGAAAACCAAGCAAATTCTTGGTAGTATTAATTATTTCAGCAAACTTTGTCAGTTACCTGTAGTCAAAGTACTATTTGCCTTTTAGTATTTGTTACACTTGGACAATCGAGAAAATAACCAATTGGTATGTGCAATATTTAAATGTTACAATATCCAATGGAGTACTGCTTTGCTGTAAAGAAGGGTAAACTTGAGTAATTTATAGAAAATTGATGCATCTTAAACTTATAAAGTGAAATAGGGCAGCCAAACAGCTCAGCTTATTAAAGCATCTGCAAGCAGGAACCAGAGCCTGGGGTTCGATCCTGGGGCCTCCTGTACACATGCTGCACTCAGGGCTCTCTGAGACGGCAATTGAGACTGAGCATGGTGGTGCATCCCTGTAATCCCAGCTCTTTGGAGACTGTAAACAGGCAGATCACTATAAGTCTGATCTAGTAGTGAGACCTTGAATACCCTGTAGACCCTACCCTAAAAATACAAAGAAAGAAAGAAAGAAAGAAAGAAAGAAAGAAAGAAAGAAAGAAAGAAGTGAAATAAATCAGACACACAGCTTAAATATCATGTGGTTTCTCTTATGTAAGAAGCCCAAAATATAAATAAAGATCAACTTAAAAAAGATAATTAAAGGGCTGGGGAGATAGCTCAGTAGATAAGTGCTTGCCTGGCAAGCCCAAGGTCCTGAGTTCAATCCCCAGTACCACAAAAAAAAAAAAAAAAAAAAAAAAAAAAAGTAATAGGCAATAGGGAGATGGATCATTTGTAAAAGGAAAGGAGGACCAAGAAGTTGAGATGGAGGAGAGGAGTGGAGGGCCAGCAAATGAAAATAGAATTGAGACGTGTTATGCTGTAAACTAAAATTTTTTTAAAAATTAAACCTTGTGTTATGAAATAATACTTATTTAACGTTTCTCTCATGCCTCAGTGTCAGTTCTTAGTTCATATATAACAAATAAAGTTTGGGAAGCCAATTTACAAACCTTTCTACTCAGATAAGCATATCTGTAATTACTAAAATTATGTATTTATTTTCAGGATAGCATTACTTTTTTTTAAACAAGATTTCACTGTGTAGTCTGGAACTCACCGTGTAGCCTAGGCTGGCCTTAAAGTCACAGAAGTCCTCTAGCTTTCATCTCTTGAGCTCTGGCATTGCAGGCATGTGCCACCACGCCAGGCCCAACTGTTTTGTGTAAGGAATGGAATCACTTTCTGAAGTGTTTTTTTATACAAGAAATTAAATATATATTTTCTACTACCTTATAGCTGAAAAACAATCTTATTCTTAGAAAAATCCTAAAATATTCAAGAAAATAGCATTGGAGTTTTGACATTACTGGAGATACAATATAAAATGGGAATTCTATTTGGTGTTTAACTACAAATATTAAAAATATAGCTAAGGGAAAAGTAAAAACAATCAAGTACATGAACTACCTCAAGATAACTTTTCAGATCCTTGTCACACTAGCAAAACTTAAGAAACACAAGTGGAAAAACGCTTATTTCCATTTTTATTGTGATAAAAATCAATTAATCAAAATAAAATTTGTGAATTATAGCCTATTGTGCCTCTGATAGAGGCTTTTTGTCTAGAACATATTACTAATTTGAAAAATCAGGTCCCTAAAATTCAAAGACTCAGTACAAAAATAGACATCTGATATGAATGTGCACATCTCAGATGAAGAAATACAAATGGAAAATAAGTATATGAAAATATGTTCAACATCATTAATCATTTGAGAAATGCAAATTAAAACAACACTAAAATTCCATCTCACCCTAGAAAGAATGATTAACATCAAGAAATCAACGGATAACAAATGCTTTAGAGGCTTTGGGGAGAAATAAACCCTTCTCCACTGTTAGTGGACGTGTAGGCTGGTACAATCATTATGGAAATCAGTATAGAGATTACTCAAAAAGCTAGGATTGGGGGTCCCATTCAAGCCAGCTATTTGCCTCCTAGGTATTTTCCCAAAAGAACTGAACTCCTCATACTACAGTAATATATGTGTATCCAGTGCAATTAGTCACAGCTAAGTCTTGGAACCAACACAAATGCCCATCAAATGAGAATGGATAAATAAGATGTGGTATTTCTACACAACAGAGTATTACTTGGGGATAAAAGAAGATAAATTTGAGGCTTTTATTGGTAAATGGATACAACTAGAGACCATACTCTTAAGTGAAATAAATCAAACCTTGCTTGAGCAAGCATCTTATTGTCTGACTAGTATAAGAACCTGAAAGAGTAAATAAAATCTGAAAGCAACAACAGATACTGGGAAAAAGGAATGAACTTGTTCAGAAGGAAGGAGTTACTGCAATGAGAAGGACAGGAGAGGAATTAGGGGAAGATATATGTCTATGTATGTAAGCAGGATGGTTTGGATCATTGTAAGTGGGTTTCTCCTGGTCTTTGGAAAGGAGCAGGTAATGCATATTTGTGTTTGTTTTCTTGTCTTCTTTCTTCATTTTCCCCCTATTTCTCCCTTCTTAATTTCTTTTATTTTTATTCATTAAAATAAATAAATAAATAAATTTGTTTATTTATTTGGTCTTGTCTAGCCTCTCCCGCTCTGGGATTATAGGGATACACTACCGCACTTGGTTTTGGTGGCTGGTACAGTGCTCCCGGGGTTCTGGAATTGAATCCAGATCTTTGCACTTGCTAGGCATTTGCTTAGACCACCAAACCAAGCTATCTCTCCAGCTCCCTTCTTAATTTCTTTTAATGGTTTTTTGTTTCGCTTTCCAATTTTGCATGCACATATCTGGTAATCTGAGCAATTAATCTGAAGACAACAATATGCATTACAACAAACTATTGAATTCATATTATTTTGTTTGGTGAAGTTCTACATCATTTCTATTTTTTTCTTTTATATTACTATTCTGTATTTTCTTTCAAAAATTAAAATTAAAATTATAAAAATTTTATATACTATTTAAATCTTTGATATATTTTGCATTCCTCATTTCAAAGAAAAAAAAGAATAAAAACAGGAACATTTTCAGAAAAATGGTGAATTAGTTTAGTATGGTATGAGTTACCAAAAGGAAGTCAATGGCATTATTTACCAAGTATCATTATTTGCTCTTACCAGTATCTCACTAAAAATGAGTCATTATATGGAATATTGAATGGCTAAGAGGTTGTAATTAATACCTTACCAGAATAGGTGCTTATCTGAAAAAAAATTTTCCGTCTCTCCTTTTCTTTTCATCAAGGATCCCTTCTTATCAAGAACCTTTAAGAACATAAGAATGAATGTCAGAAAGAAGAGCAGTAATTCAACTCATCATAACATCCCTAATGAAATATAAATTTAGAAGGAATATATTGAATTATAAACCTCTAGGTATTTACTTGCTTAAAGAATTGAATCTGAATTGCTTCTGTTGGACATGTTGTTTATTTATAAATAAAAGTGCAAAATATTATTTTCTTTCTAGTTTGATGATTCGATAGTCTAAGCATTGCTATATATCCTTCATTTGTTAAAAAGTGATCACATCAATTTATTTCTATTCCATAATGGCCATTTGATTGACTATACAACTGTTTTGAATATATGTGGAGAATTGATAATTGACAGTTACACTTGTCATTATCTTTATTAACATCAGGGTTCTGTTACTTTTAATACAGTAATTTTGTCAATAGTAAAGAACCAAATATAGTAGAAATAGTAAATGATAAGATACATGAAAAGATTTATTTCATTAAATACAAGAGACTATTTTTTTCTAAATATAGAAAACTTTAAAAAGAAACCATATTTGCCACAAAATTAATAATGAATTTGGGGGATTTAATGAACTACCCCAATTCAAATATTGTTGAAAGAACATGCTTAAAAAATGGCCCTTGCCATTTTTATATTTTCTACTTTATAAAAGTAGATATTTTAGGTCTGCTGATTGTTAAAATCATGCATATAGCAGCATCTCTTCTTTCATTTCCCTTAATTCTTTTATTAGCAGTATATGCAGGTGAGATTGCCTGCAGTTCTCCTGCGGAGTTGGTGCAGGCCCAGAACACATCTCACTTCCTTGTTCATCCCCTTTCTTCCCCCTCATCTCCAGCTTACAGAATCTTAAGCCAATAGATCCTACAAGCAAGATGAGAGTGTTAGGGTCACTGAAGTTTGTTGAGATCTGAGAAAGATCACTGTCACCTTCTTGTTTGACAAATGCTGGAGGGGCTGTGGGGAAAAAAGGAACACTTGTCCACTGTTGATGGGCTTGTAGACGGGTGCAACCACGGTGGAAATCAGTCTAAAAATGCCTCAAAAAGCTAAGATTGAAAGTCTCATTCAACCCAGCTGTTCCCCTTCTTGATATTTCCCCAGAAGAACTAAAAGCATCATACCACAGTGTATATGTGCACTTATGTTTCTAGCAGCACAATTTGTCAGAGCTAAATCTTGGAAACAACCAAAATGCCCATCACCTGAAGAATGGATAAAAAAGATGCGGTGTTTTTATACAATAGAGTATAACACAGCTATAAAGAAAGGCAAATTTGAGGTCTTTATAGGTAAATGGATACAATTAGAGGCTATACTTCTAAGTGAAATAAATGTGACCAACATGTGTAAATACTCTATTGTCTCCCTAGTGTAAAGAACTTGAAAGAATAAATAAAATCTGAAAGAAATAATAGACATAGTAAAATGGAAAGAAGCTGAACATAAAGAATAAATAATAAAGATGTAGGAAAGGATAAAAGATAGGAGAAAAAAAGCAAGGGGGAGAAAACATACAAGTATATATTTGGTATAGCTGAGATGATTGTAGTACTCATTTCCATCAATTTTTTGAAAGTACCAGTTTATGTGTAATATTTTCATGCTTACTAACTGTATATGCTATTATCTATTTTGTTTGCAGGAATAATTGAGCTTCATGTCTCATTACAGTTCATTCAAAGACATAAATAGTAGTACTTTATATTACTAGGATTGCTGTTAGGACTGGTTGCTGGCACTAGAAAAGCACAACTTTTTACTTTAGAAGATGTCCTATTCCTTTAACTCAAGATTGTGATGACGTACCTCAAAGCCCTAAGTCATAACTTACAGCTATGAAAGAGCTTCTGAACAGGAGGACAGAACAACCTGAGTTTATAGATCAACTATTAATTCATTTGATGTTAATCATGTATGTTTTAGATCTGTGCTTGAGTTTATAATCTTTATTTTATTTAATCTTCTATAGCAGTGTCTCAGTTACTCTTCTCTCATTACTGGGAAAAATACCCGACACTCAAAATTAAGGAAGGAAATGTTTATTTAGCTCACAGTTACTGGAGGTTTCAGTCCATTTTCAGCTGGCTCCAAGTCAGAGTGGCACACAGCAAAGAGAGCAAAAGGAGTGGCACAGCTCAGGTGGCTAGCTAGCTAGCCCCTCTCCTCTCCTTACACTGTAATGCAAATTACCTGCCCAGGGCAGGTGCAGCATCCACACTCACAATAATCAATCACAAACTGCAGAAGCCGCCCCGTGACTGCATGAGGCTTTGGGGGGACAACTAGACACAAACCATAACAAGCAGGTTTCTACAGGATTTCATTAAATTGGAATTCTACTCAAATTAAATATCTATAGCAAAATGTAAATTCTAGTAAAATTTAAATTATAGTAAAATATTTCAGTAAGGTTCATCTGTCCATTAATGTACATGACTGAGCAACTCCTATATCCCAGGTATGGTAGGGAGTGCAGGATTTGGAGATAAATAAAATGTACTTTGTTAGGGGCCAGGGAGATGACTCAGCAGAATAAGTGCTTCCCTGGCAAGCACAAGGGCCTGAGTTCAATCCAGCGTTCTGGGAAAAAAAAAATTCACCTTGTTATTTCAAGGAAATCTTAAAGCAATGAACTACTCATTTAGTGTAAGAGACAAACTAACAGCTGCAGTCAGATAGATGTACAGGTTTCCAGGCGCTAGACATGGATACAAAGTGTGGCTGCTCTTGTGAACTAGTGGAGCAAGCCCATTTAATCTGCACTATTCTTTTTTCCCTCAAGGTGGAGCGTCATCAAGTGGGAGTATTATCCAGTACTGAGATCTACTGATTTTTAAATGTTGGGAGGAGATAAGACATATTCAGGGAACAATATGGTCAAAGCTCCCTATTTGTAAATACAACTGATCAAAATATACAATGAATAGTTAGATTGTCAAAACTGTCACGCTTGTTAAAGACAGTGCTATTATTCCCATCAAGATATTCCCCATTGCTCTGAATATACTTATCCCATTGTGCTTGCCAGTTTCTGAAGTACTTCCTGGAGTCCTCTTTCATGAGGGGGTTTAGGAGGTGTGATAAAAAAGTACCACAAATGCTTCTGCTGAGTACCATCCACAGAAAAGCGAGCACATAAAGCATTATGGTGTGTCCTCATTCACCAGATCTGACTCTGAGTTTTGGCTCTTCCCCAAATTCAAAGTGACTATGAAAGTTAGAGATTTCAAACCAATTCAGGACATGCGGGAACCATGAAAGCACAACTAAAGAAACAAGAGAAGACTCCAGAGCTGCTTAAAAATTACAAGAATTATGGGTAAGTGTATTTGAAGTAAGGAGAATATTTTGAGGAGGATTGATAACAGTGTGTCTTTTACTAGAGTTTACTTGTACAAATTTGAACATTTTCTGTGTTTGTGACCATACCTCATACAAAATGCATAAAAATTGAAGTGTGAAAAGTGGAACAATGGAAGCATGTAGTATAAGGTAAAGTGGTGGCACTACGGAGGCCATTCAAAGTTTGGTGACTGGGGATAGGACCAGGTGCAACTAAGGAAACTGAGCAGAATAGACTGAACTAGTTTGATGAAAATGAGAAGACATGAGGCTAAATATCTCACTTGGATATTATTACTTACCTTAAAAAGAATAGGATAAAATTGAGACTACAGTAGTGAGAGGAATAAATAAAAAGGACCAAAAACATGAGACACAAATACATTAATCCTGTCAATAATAGACAGTGAATAAAGAGGTAGGGATGAGGAAATATTTTTAAATAAAATGAAAGACATTTGAGCATGTCCAAATTCAATAGAATTAGTAAAGAAAGAAGATTCTGGGCAAATATGGCACGATACAGTAGATTGAGGAGCATTCCTGAATAAATAAGAAGAGATGGGAACAAAGGCATGAAGAAGGGGATGACCCTTGGTGAAAGAAGGAACTGCATTTATGCCTGCAGTGAGGTCCTGTGATTTCTGCTTCCTCTATGAAGGGTAGACAGTCACTTACTGACGACATAGGATAAGTAAATGGTTGGGGAGAGAGGTTGAGAAATGAACCCAAATCTAGTCAGGGTGTACCAAAGCTGTAATAATAGCTTCTTTGAATTTTGCTTCAATTAGATGTGTAAGATGTTGAGGAAAATGTTAAGTAATTTTTGAAAGTACTATGTGATGTAAGATACTTTTCATCATGGTGAATATGCAAGTAAACTTTGCTTAGTTAATTTGCCATCCTTGTAGTACAGGGATACTAAGTCAAAGATCAAAGTTTCCTAACATAATGATCACCCTAAGGTATTCCAAAGCTAAGAAGGGTGCTGCCCGGATCTGCACAGAGAAACTTTAATTTTTCAAAGGGAAGTTAATAATTCATGGGTAGCTATCTTTTTCTTTATGAAAAAGAAAGATCAAAATGCTAGAAAACATTATACATTAAAACTAAATTCAGGGGAGACCTGCATGCCTCTTTTGAGGAAAAGTGGAGAAAACAGTTCAAAAAAGTATAACCAAGACTGAGAAGCAGTTTGCCTAATAAATTTCTCCTCAAATATAAATGAATGACTATTATAAAATATCCAATGTTCAATTTCACAAGCAGTTTGTTTTTATACAGTCTCAAGATATTAGAATACAAGATTTAGTTAATAAATTTACTTACAATGAAGTACGTTATTTTTTGCAAGTACATTATTATATGACTAGATATTTCTAAATGGCACTTTAGTTTTTATTCATTTATTTTTATTTATTTATTTATTTATTTATTTATTTATTTATTTATTTATTTATTTTTGTGGAACCGGGGATTGAACTCAGGCCCTTGCGCTTGCCAGGGAAGCGCTTACTCTGCTGAGCCATCTCCCCGGCCCCTATTCATTTATTTTTGAATTTTATTTTAAAGAGAAAACAATAAAAACAATGATACAAAATTTCAAAACATGATAGTAGTTAATTTACAATGGTTATTACATTGCCTATTGTTATCTTCAAAGTAGTTGCTCAGATTACCAGCTTCAGGCCTGCAAAATCAATCAAAAAATGTAAGCACTAACTCCCTTTCAATGAACTAATAGAAATTAGTAGTCCAGTTACCTCAGCTTTTCTCCTTTCCCCCATCCCAGTTGTTCTTTCATGTTGAGCAGCTTCTCTTTCACAATATCTATTGTAGGTTTTAGAT